CAGAACAATTACGAAAAAATTAACGTAGTCGACTTTAATAATAACATAATTAATCAACAACAAAGTTATCGAAATCCACTAAAAACATAAGTAAATCCACTACTAACACAACTAAAAATAAACATAAATTCACTATTCAAAAATCCGCTATTTAAAACGCAAGTCACTACTATATCCACGAAAAAGTGCAAGATCAGTACACCACCACCAACAAGGCCGACGAGGGTCACTGCATCAATATGTTCAAGAAAAAAAATAATTTATAAGAATTAATAGTCTTTTTCACAATATCGTTATCAAATAGGAACCTTCCCCACAAACCCAAAAACCATTGATAAATATGATTGAAGCGAGAAAAAAAATATTTACCTTTTTCTACCACGCATATATAGATATCATTCGGCGACGGTGAAGAGAGGAAATACGGGTGGGGCTTGGGGCGGCCCCCGGCGGGGATTGAGGCGGCGCCGGGCGAGTGCTGGGGCGGTGTTGGGCGGGGCTAGGGCGGCTGGGCGGCGGCTAGGCAGTGGGAGAGAAGAAGAGGTGAACGGAAGGAAATCTGCAATGGTGAATAGAAAAGAAGAAAAAATAAAATAAAATCTAGAGAGAAAAAAAAAAGTGATGGACGTTATATTCAAGGGCGAGATTTGTGGAGCGAGATTTGTGGGTGAGATTCAGAACGTGATATTAAGGGAAAATATAATAAGTATATTTATATTCAACCCTAATATACGTTATAATGGTAAGGGTATAATTGTGATAATTTATTATTTTTATTAATAAAAAATGATTTGAATTTATTTAAAAAATAAGAAATAAATTTGAGTTCATTGTAATTGGATTTTTATGACGAGTGATTTTGTGAAATAATCCCTATTTTAGAAGGTACGAACCATTAATGCATATAATTTATAATATAATGTAGCAGAACTATTTATTTCTGAGAGATAAAATTATTGATCAGACAGACCCTCACATGATGATACTGATAACGTATATTTTACGTGGGCTATCGCCTGCGGGGAAATGACTATTTTATCCTTGATTTTTGTAAACCTAAACCCATAAATTCAGAAACCTAATTAATTATTCACACCAAAATATTTCAGCCAATATTTAATGTTTTTTGTCCAAAGGTTTCTTATTAATTAACATTTCCTTGGATTTTGTTATAATAATTAACATATTTCATTTTTTTTTGCCTTTTTTGTTCTTTTCGGGCGATTGGAGGTGGAGGCGGGGTGAAGAATCGGAATGGACGATGGTGAAGAATTTTTGTTGCCATAACATTGGATTAAAAAAAACAAATATTATGAATAAATAAATAAAAAAATGAAATAAAGATACTAAAACATGTACAGTAGCGATCAAATATATTGGAAATTAAATGGGAAGGATTGATTGCAACAGAAACCAAACTGCATTTAAATTGCTGAATATGAAATATCAACAATGTGTCCGTAAAATAGAAGACAAGAACCACTATATAGCACTAGCAGCAGCACTATATAGATAGATATATATAATGTATTGGTCTTTAAATAGAAATAGTAATAATTTGTTTTTCTTCCATTTTATTTCACGTGCATTAATTAATATAATATTATAAAGTACGCCCAGTTCAATATTTGCACAGGCACCAAAAAATGAAAGAAATGGAAAAAAACAAAGGAGTAGTTGGGGGAGTGAGGAAAGGTGCATGGACAAAAGAAGAAGATCAAATGTTGAAGAAATGCGTTCAAACCTACGGAGAAGGAAAGTGGCATCTTGTCCCTCTCAGAACTGGTAATAATCATCATATTATATATTATTATTTTTTTCAAATTTTGATTTTATAAATAATATTATGTTTTTTTCTTCTTCTTTTTCATACGATCTTAGATCTATTTATTTGTTACATATATTATATACATGGGCATATATCAGGGCTGAACAGATGTAGGAAGAGTTGCAGATTGAGATGGTTAAATTATCTGAGGCCGAATCTTAAACGAGGAATATTCAACCAAGACGAAATCGATCTCATTGTTCGCCTTCATAACTTGCTCGGAAACAGGCAACTCTCTCTCTCTCTCTCTCTCTCTCTCTCTCTCTCTCTCTCTCTCTCTATATCAGAGAAAAGAAAAAAGGGGAGAAATATAGGAGTGGGTGGGTAAGGGACTAGGAGATACATATGGGTATAGATCTGCGTCCTCCATATCCGTATATTTATAA